GGCTCGGGCAAGTGCTACAAGTGAGTGCTGTACACACAGTCACCCCGGACAACCAGGCACAATGAGAGACAGGCGCTCTGAGCAAGGACCATGGGAACAAAACAGGGGCTCCGAGGGAGAGACCTGACAGCTGCAGAAACGCATGTGTGCTCACTGCTGAAGAACATGAAAGCTAACTTGAAACATTCGGCCACAACTAAAAACTATTCAACAGTGACACTGGATTAAAAAAAGTAGACATTCTTGAGCCATAAAATAGGATAACCAAACTCAAGAACTCAACGCACAGGTTTATTAGTAGATTAGCACTGTAAAAAGAGAACTAGTGAATTTAAATAAAAACATCTATATTCAAGTACAGACTTTTTTGTGTGTATGTGTATATATTGAAGAATTTTTTTTATTGATGTCTTAATGGTTTATAACATTGTGAAATTTTGGTTGAACATTATTGTTTGTCAATCACCATATACATGTCTCCCTTCACCCCTTGTGCCCACCCCCCCCAACCCCCTTGCCCCTGGTAACCACTATACAGTTCTCTCTGTCCGTGTGTTGGTTTATATTCCAACATATGAGTGAGATGATGTGGTATTTGTCTTTCTCTGTCTGGCTTATTTCACTTAACATAACACCCTCCAGGTCCATCCATGTTGCTGGAAATGGGACAATTTTGTCTTGTTTTATGGCTGAGTAGTATTCCATTGTATATATATACCACATCTTCTTTATCCAATCATCACTTGATGGACACTTGGGTTGCTTCCACTTCTTGGCTATAGAGAATGCTGCTGCGATGAACATAGGGGTGCATAAGCCTCTTTGGATTGTTGATTTCAGGTTCGTTGGATAGATTCCTAGTAGCGAGATAGCTGAATCATAGGGCATTTCTATTTTTAGTTTTTTGAGGAATCTCCATACTGTTTTCCATAGAGGCTGCACCAGTTTGCACTCCCACCAGCAGTGGTTTAGGGTTCCCATTTCTCCACATCTTCTCCAACATTTGTTGTTTTCTGTCTTGGTGGTTATAGCCATTCTCACAGGTGTACGGTGATATCTTAGTGTGGTTTTGATTTGCATTTCCCTGATGACTAGTGATGTTGAACATCTTTTCATGTGCCTATTGGCCATCTGTATATCTTCTTTGGAGAAGTGTCGGTTCATTTCTTCTGCCCATTTTTTAATTGGGTTGCTTGTTTTTTTGTTGTTCAGTTGTGTGAGTTCTTTATATATTATGGAGATTAACCCCTTGTTGGATATATGTTTTGCAAGTATTTTCTCCCAGCTGGTAGGCTGTCTATTCATTTTGGTCCTGGTTTTATTTGTCTTGTTGAAGCTCTTTAATCTGATGAAGTCCCACTTGCTTATTTTTTCTTTAGTTT